GTATTCGGAATACAAAAAAATTGGCATACCGCACAAGGTTTCTATGTGAAACTAACACAGTACGCTTGAGGTAGAGCTATTATAAAGATATTAGAACCATTACAGCGTAGATAGGACGTTTTCCTAACGTTGGCGCACGTGACTGTTTAAAATTAAGGTAGTGTTTAAAAGTATTGCANGTATTGCAATAGAGGGGCCTAGGTCACAAAAACTAGTTTACTCACTCTGTGTCTTTTGTTTAAACTGTTTTTGTTGAAAATTGTGCACGATTTTCTTATAATTAAAAAAAAAGTTATAAATTTTTGATATTTTTTAATCTAGTGGTACATTATTTTTCTATGTTCTACTTTATTCTAGCTAATGTGAACAGAAATCGATGTATTTGAGGAATGTTTTAAGTATAAATTGTGGTTAATAAAGACCTTGCCCGATCATCGCTTCCAAATCAGAACCCATACTCTTTCATACCCATTTCAGAATAGCAGTGAGTTATTGTTTCCGTCTTTGGGATATTGCTTTACACTGTTTGTTCGCCCTCAGATTGAGTGGGTTGGTAGGCTTATAATGTTTCTTCGAAGGCCAATCAATAGATATTATGTTAACATTGAATCTTGGGTAGATTGTGTATTTTAACTTTTCGTAACATCGCTACCGCGAATACTAATCCCTACTAATATTATAAATGCGAATGCGAAAGTAACTGTTACTCTGTCTGTGTCGCTTTCACGCCTAAACCACTGAACCGATTTTGATTGGGATTGTTTTTATCCCGGTTTTTGAAACAGGGACGCGCGCGATAAAGTATTTCAGTGACAGACAAAATTTCACGCGGGCGAAGCCGCGGGCGGAAAGCTAGTGAAAAATATTTACGAATGAGCTTCAGTGCTTGCTACGTAGTAAAAGAAAATAGTACAGTGACTTGTATTAGTGCTTCAATTTCCAACTAAAAGCGTGCGTGTGTAAATTTTAAGTAAATCTGAATAAATCATTTGTCTTTTTATGAAATTGTCTATCGAATAATATGGGTGCGTGACAGTTTATATAAGTTTATATGATATAAATTCATTTCAATAACGTTCATATTGTATAATAAACGTATGTTATAATAACACTTGATATAATTTTTTTACATATAATGTTTACTTCATATAATAAATCATTTCTAATAATATCATTTCAGATACCAATCACAACGCATAAAGTCATTTGATATAAACCTTACTTAATCTAAGACTCATTTGATGTAATTTTGTTTAATATAAATATTATTTCACATAACCATTACTTGTAATAAATATTATTTGTTATACTCTTTAATTGATATAATTTCTGATAGATATAACTTTGAGTATGATCTTTTTTAGCTTGACTTATAAATGACTTTAGTGACAATAAAACCGGCCAAGTGCGAGTCGGGCTCGCGCACAAAGGGTTCCGTAGCAGCAAATATAATAAACTTATTATGTCAATTTAATCAACCTATCTCAAAAACTATAAGAGATACTTTGATCAAACCAAAAATCGTTGAAAGAGTTAATTAGCATGCATCACCTCTATTTTTTTTAGAATTTTATACCCCGTAGTTATAAAAATAGAGGGGGGGGGACATACTTTTTACGACTNGCTAGCTTGCTTGCTAGCTTGCTTGCTAGCTTGCTTGCTTGCTCACTTGTTTGCTTGCTTGCTGCATGCAATGCTTATTATAACAAATGAACTTTATATAAAATTATTATTGTTATATGATTTAAGTTTTATAGGAAAAGAATTTTATCTTATTTGATTGTTCGACATTTTATTTTTATATGATTTGAATGTTATTTGTTTTAAATAGTATACATTGTAAGTTTTATAGAAAATATTCATTATATCAAACCATTTTATATCAGTTAATAGTTATTTGTCTTAAAATTATTCGTTTTAAAATTATATTATTCGTTTATTATAGTAAATAATTATTATATTAAACGATTTTATATAATTTGATGTTATATCCTCTAAGTATTATATGATATGTAGTTATATCATACATTACACACCCGAATAATATCAACAGACTTAAAAACCGACTAGCCACCTCGTTATTCTCTACTTCTTGATGCTAGTATAAGTTGTAGATACTGTTCCCTTTTCATTAAACACACTCATATTTACTTTTTGCTAACTACTCGTACTTAATTATTCTCGATATGAGAGGACGCAAAATGGGAAAGTTAATGTCATTCCTCCTCATCAGAGGGTGTATAACTGCCCACATTATTTTGTGTTGTTGTTTAACTTTAACTTAATTTGTGTTTGGGGATTATCATGCATGGTAAATATAAGTCCTTCCTTAATATAGTTTTATACTAGCGCAGTTACATCGTTCGTTCGTTTGTTTGTTTCAGCCAAATGACGTCCACTGCTGGACAAAGGCCAAGGCTTTCCATCGGCCATTCTCAGATGAGCTAGTTTTTGCGTGTCCGGGCTGTTAAATCGTTAAAAATGACAAATAAAAGACATGCAAGTATTTTTANCCATAATGAACGGTCCTGCGCTGTCGACATCCAGGTTCTTTCTCGACCTTTACCAGATCGTCGGTCCACCTAGTAGGAGGCCTGGCCACGCTACGTCTTTCAGCCCATGGTCGCCACTCGAGAACTTTGATTGCCCCGCCCACTGCCACTTGATTTTAGCAATTACATAATTAATTTTTATTTCAGCTATTTTCGATAAAATGTTCGATTCATGATTTCGTCTAGGAGGGATATAAAAGATAAAGGTGACACATCAGAATATGTATAAATTGTTGCAATATTGTACTTACTCGTATCTACAAGTAGGTAATGCACGCTGTTGCCACGTTGTCAGTTGTTGACGATTTGCAAGTTTAATTTTTAGGAAAGTAGCTATAATTTACAAAATGAGTTAACTTGAAGACTGAGGTTAGCATGTTGAATAATAGGTCTACATTATCTTTTGAATAAACGTCACAAAGGCTTCTAAAGACATTCCCTAAGGATACCGAAGCCATTAAATTCATAAGTTCACCCATTCTACAAACTTAGCTAAAATTCCACTGACGTAGTAACGTATGACAATGTTACGAATGTAGACCCAACTTAAGTTTCAGCGAGAGAAAATACATAATAAGCATAATAATTTAGCGTAAATAAAATAAAAAACAAGAGAAAAGTAAACAATATTTACCTATTTATGTTACTACGATAAAATTAAGTTAAGGAAATAGGATTTACGTGTGTTCAAAAACAATCAAGAGTTAAATCAAGCTTTTCAGTGAAATGGGGTTCGGATAAGAACCTACTCTACAATGCAACGACTATAAAAACATCTGACGTCACTAATTTAATTTGGCCTAAATTCAACAGACCTCGATTAACAAAGTGCACCGCTGTGACCCATATAAAATAAAAATTAAATGATAGTATTATTTACCTACTCTTGAAAAGAAAATTGGATTTCCAAACGTAAGCACTTACTACAAAATCACATACATATTTTAGCTGCTCTACCATTCGCAGTGAAAAATCAGTTGCTTGCTCACAGAAATGCACACATTTTATACTCTACATTTTTCCTGTAAAATCGCAGTATTTGCAACTACATAAAATGCTTGATGTGTTGTTGTACGTTTTATTTGCAGTGACTTAGAGAAAAATAAGGGTTAATTTTTTCAGATATCAATCCATTCCACAGATTTATTAATAAGTAAAGTACATTCACGAGCACACCTACCTACCACATTAAAGTCCTTTATGTACTTTTAATTAGAAAGTTCAAAATACATCAGCGAGTTTTGTAATTCGGCAGATTAATTTCTGGCAACAATGATAAATCGTTGGATGGCGACCGCACGTTATAATACTAACTAATATTAATATTGAAATTAAAATACGAAAATTAGTTCTTCAGTGCTGGTTACAAAAAATATAGGTAAGGTAGTTACGTTCAAAAATTGCAAAGTGTTTTCAGAAGTTAATGGGAATTCTGAAGAACCAGCTGAGCACCGTGATAAATTGTCTTATAAACATTATCGTTTTTTTTATAACTTTCCTAAACTGAAATCATAAAATTTATTAATGAGTTTGTTTGAATTTGTAGCTAAATTGCAAAGCTTCTGAATTTAGATAAATAAATTTTATGTTTATCTATTTATCTCATTCACGCTTGCAAAACCTAAAAAACAAACCCTACATAGATAGGTCCACATAGACTGATAAAATTAATATCAAGCGGAATTCTGAGAATATACTCACACCGCACTGTTATGAAAGTTATGCCAATATGGTGCCAATATTGTGCCAACACAAGCACATTCGTTTACAATCGAATGTACCCACTGGGGATAATATTTTGCGAGACCATCTATTGCATACGAATATGTAACGTATCAGGAAAAACTTTGCCTCATAAATGCACGCCACACTTAGTTTTCGGTCAAATAGTAGCCATATTCAGGAAATGCCGTCCCTTTTGTCGAAGGGCAAAACCTATAAACCTTAACAAGATTACACATAAAAAATAACAAGCTGTGCCATTCAAAAAATATATCCGCATTAGTAAAATATTGCCTGTATTTTATGGCAAAAATGTGGTAAAATGAAATGCCTATCATTTTCTTATAGCAACGTTTCTTGAACAAGAACTTGCTATTTTCTGTTTTCAGATATTTATATTAAAGCATGAAGGTAACTGGTATCTGGAAAATATTTTTATGGTCCAAGCATTTAACATTGACCTATTCTTTCTTATATTGTAAACAGCTTTATTCACAACATCGTAGATAGGCATAGCATAGATAATACTTTAACAGCCTTTAAACCTGTTTCGTGCGTCACTCTTACTAGTTGTAACTGACCACAGACGCGGAAATGTGTAATAAAATGAAGAAAAATATTTTTTGCCATTGATATCTGTCATTATTTATCACAACAAAATCGAATGTAAACAGTCTTATTTATTGATTAATATCTCCAATATTTATTCAAAGTTTTTTACTTAATAAGAAGTTTTGACGAGGGTATCGTAATAGAATTACCGTCATGACGTCCCGAGCCGCGATGAAGAGGCGTGAGCTGCCCAAACTTATGGCCTGTATGACCAAAACTAGTTTGGAGAACATGAGGAATAAAGCCCTGTTTAGCTTGGACATGCTTGATGCGAAAGGGATTCGAAGGTTTGTATGATCCCCATATATTAGGGAACCTTGTTATAGGTCAAATTAATGACTTTGTACCTACTTCTTAGTCTATTGAGTGAAGTGAAAGTGGAATGTAATCCACGTTCTTTCAAGTTTAAGCAGAAATCAGAATCCTAGTAAAATACCTAAAGGAACTGCTATAGGCGTCTTACATGGCTCAATAGGGTATCGTGCCATAAGAAGCAGAGAAAATAAATCTTTATTGCCACTGTTCTAATTACATCTGATAATAACAAGAATTGCATTATGGAAGCCATTAGAAAGCAATTCGATTCTAAAACTCATTCTTGTACCTATTCAAAATAGCTATGCATTTCTCGCATGTTTTTAAAAATTCTGCAGATCCATTAGGAAAACAGTCCAAGGTTGCAAATCCATTAGGGAGATTGACTGTTTGCCTGACATATATTTTAAACGGCTTGCATTATGTGCTGTAGAATTAAATGCTCTATCTAAACACTCAGTCGCAAACTATTCTCCTAAAAAAGCTTCTAGAGCTGTATTTAAACATTCACATTTCATTTCCATTTCAGGAGGAAGTTTCCTTTGCACGAGTGCCTTATTTTAGAGTTGAGAGAGGCAGGTTACACAGAATCCTCTGACTACCTGCAGGATCTTATTTACGACAATATGCAGCTCGTAGCAGAAGATGAAATTGGTATAGTCGTGGATTTAAGAAAGAGAGTCGATTATTTGGAGCACATTTGTTCCGGTCTGCAGAAAGCTGAAAAGGAGAGGGATAAAGGTAACTAATAACAGTTTCCCCAATGTTTCAGATGTAAATTAAATTATGTCTTTTTGGAGACAAAATTTAGAAAAGTATTTGAAATAAAGAACAGTTGGTTTAAGTACCAGTATTTCCTGTTCCCATTCATTCCCTACTTGTGTAATTTAGAGTGCTAGGACTTAAAACTTGACTATCGTAAAGATATGTAAGTAAATCTTATATTTCCTGTTCTTGGGTACTCCTGTAATCCCAGTGCCTAACTTACGTCCACATACATTACCCACGATTTATTCCGCACACGGAACAACCTTATGTGAGTCTAGATTATCTTGTTAGAGCAGATAAATGCTCTACTTTCGCTGAACGTTTGTTTCGACAAAATAATTTGTACGTTACTTAACTTATTTTCACAACAAACAGTTAAGATTGAAACAAACTAAAGCCGGGACCAGACGGGTGTAATGTGTAATGTAAGATTAAGTGTAATGTAACACGAATTCTACGTGTGGACGGCACTATGAGCATTACATGTAAAGTGCTGCCCATGGAAATGGAAATACATAGTCCATTACATTACACGGTGGATTATATTACGCGTTACACCCGTCTGGATCCGGATTTTTTGTCCTTAGACAAAAAATACTTTTAAACACTATAACTACTGTTGTAAACAGGTGGTTAGAGTGTTAGTTGTTGATTAATAATAGTAGTTTGAACCAACTACCTAATTTATTTTTTTCCTACGATGCCACATCAACGCAAGAAGGTGCAAATTCAATCAATTTAATAGTTTATTGTTAAAGTTTGGAATTAATTAATTAATTTATTTAAAGACTTCATTTTATTACACACACATAAATGTGATCCGTACAAAAAGGCGAGCCTAATGCCAGGTGGCATTATCTCCCAGCCGACCTTAAGCAAAACAGAGAATTTGAGTAGTATTTTAGAATACTTGTCATCGGTTTTCCTCTGTAGCACCGGATCATTAATAGTAGGTAAAGTATTCTGTTGTCGTTCATCTTTATTTCTATTTATCCACCGCCACGGTTTTCGCCACGGGACCGCTTAATGGCCCATAAATTCCTGTCGCAACTATAGGAACTATTGTTGCGTAAGCAATGGTATTAAAAATACATTTTTGGACTATTGCCCTTCGAGACTTGACTACGATATTACTTCGGAATTTTTGGAGTAAGTTGGCACTTAATATTTTCTGAGATACGCAAAACTTAATCGGTTCTGAAAGTTAAAGTCAAAAAGCTTTTTCAGTGATCTAAAACTTTTAAGTTGTTTTATTGGATTAATTTGTCATCTTCAATACATAGGTATTAACAAGGCCAAGTGGTTATATGCACATACAGTAGAACGCCGATTATCCGAATTAATTGGGACCGGGGTCGATTCGGATAATCGAAAATTCGGATAATCGGACATAGACTGGTAATAGAGATAAACGAACTGTCACACATAGAATAAACTTTAATTAGTATAAAAAACAGATATATTTCTACTTGGCGTTATTGTAGAACTGATACAATAACGCTTAGTTGAAATATATCTGAAATCCAACAAAAAAAATCAAAAGATATTTGGTTTTAATTTTTATATTACGTATAGGACCGATTCGGATAATTGGCGATTCGGTTAATCGGCGTTCGGATAATCGGCGTTCTACTGTAATAATCTTCTTTTTATTTGCCAGAAAAACACAATATGACTAGATATTCTAAGAAATTATACCTATACTATATTGTGTTTTTCTAACAAATAAAAAGAAGATATTATATGTGCAGATAACCACTTGGCCTTGTTAACTGCTACTAAACATCGTCATTACCTTTATTTGATTGGTACTCGGCACAATAGTAAATACTAATAATGTTATACAATTTCAGGAAATACGAAAAAGGAATGCCTAGGACTTCTAAGCCTAGCCATGCATTACGCAGAACAGGGAAAAGGTATCTTGTGGTTGGCAGAAAAGTTCTATTTGGCATCCATTGCGGTATCCAGCCAGTATCTCATAGACGGCGGTCGCCAGAAAGCGTGCTGTAAATACCATTACGCCAAATTCTTGCTGGACAAATGTAAGTTTTAAATGGGACATAGAAAGTAATAAATTATCTTTATTTACTATTCGGAACAATATCAAAGTAATAAATAAATCTGGGCAGTAAATAATGTGCACAAACTTTTTGAAGACGACATTTCGGAAGATTGAGTCAGATCAACGTAAAGATATGCTATTTTTGTCTTTTTCCTGTGCAAGGTTGATTTATAGTCTAGATATGGGTACAAAGATGTCACAATGATCTATTTATAGATGTTAAGAAATAATTCTAATTAATTCACAACTCAGTATGTAGATAATAGGTAATATGAGATCTTTCCCACAAGGTCATACTGCGTTTATTTAAATAAAGCTTTCTCATAATACTTCGCATAATCCTAATAAAACTAGTTAGTAGGTATAGTATTTTTAGAATTTTTATTACTAAATAATCAACACTTAATGACTTTTACAACGTATAGTTCATAATAGACTAGACTAGGATATCAGAGTCCAGCAGGGCCAGGATGCACGCCGGGATAAAATATTATCGACGATTTCAGATGATAAATGTATGGGTTTATCGCATAAAATCGATAAAACGGCGTGATAAAAGCTTATCACGGCGCGCATCCTAGGCCTACAGGTAGCTCTTCGTATCGAGTAATTATGTCCCAGATAGAGAATAACTAGACTTCGCAAAGGTCGTAGTTATTATTTGCCAATTTATACCGTAAAGGATATACGTATAGGCAAATAATAGTTCGCGAAGAGGAAGTAATGTGGTAAGTTATCCTTCGTTATGAGGAAATTCTTGTTTACAATCTCCATAACAAAAGTAAAACTGGAATACCTACTTAGCTTTATTAATTCGAATCACATTGTAGAGACCGCTTATTTGTAGAGTAGTGGGCATATAGGTAAATACCGAGTTTTATCTTCCGAAAAATACCTATACTTACTTTAATCATATTCAAGTCTAGATTATTTTTAGCTATGCAAATTACAAGCTTTAAAACAAATACATGGTACCTTCTTTTAATAATAGGTCTAAATAAACGAAATCGATTCTCTATTTAGACAGGAGTCTTTTACAATTCTGAAAGGATAAATTTTAAAATATTTTTTTGCAAACGAAAATTGAACCAACGACGCAAAAAGCTGTCAACTATAAAATATATCGTTGTGTCTGTTACTGAGCTGTTCATTTGCTGAGCCTACGTCTTAAATAAGTAGATGCATATAATTCGTAAATTGGCAAAACGCTCATTAAAGAGTGTCAAGTGATTTAATTACAAGTTTAAGTACTACACGTTTTTAAATTGATGCTTACAAGTTTGATGTCCACAAATACTGCCTTGATATTAAAGTTTTAAATAGTTCATTTAAACTACAGAATGGCCATATCGCCATTTATCGCTTTTTATGTGCATACTTAACGTAAGTTGTGTTGTGGAAAGTGTTAGAAGTTTACCCATTTACTTATTACCTAAATGTATGGAGAGCAGATGAAGTGGCCCAAATTCTCCAATCTCTATCGTCACCGCAAGCCTGGACAAGCTGCTCAAAGGGTAAAGTTACAAGGGTAAAATGGGCTGTTCTGGATTGGCTAAACCACAAATCTAGTCAGAAGTCAAGTCCAATCAGAAGGCTTATCATCGTCATCATCATCATTTCAGCCATAGGATGTCCACTGCTGATAGGCCTCCCCCAATGATTTCCATATCGCCCGGTTGGTAGCAGCCTGCATCCAGCGCTTTTCTGCTACCTTTATGTAATTGAGGAAAACTATGCCCGTCAAAATATGTACCTAAATGTATATAAATATAAATAACCAATGATAGTTCCAGGATCTGATCCAGAAGAACCTTCAGCAATTCTTACTGAAGTAAGAGACAATGCTATAGGAAAGGTACGTATAATATCGTATCTGTCTGTGACAATATCTGATTATTTGCCTAGTATCAAGGGCTGCTGGCGAAAGTGCTTTTTTAACAGTAGTAGAAATAGAAATTATGATAACTGTATAGATCATTTCATCCATGAAGACACACCCCACAAATTTTTGGTCGAGGGAAGCACGGGGTGCGGGGAGTTTGTTCCGAGCAATCCGAGCGTCATTATTGTAGAGTGCGAGTGCACTCATTGAATTTAGCGTGTACCGATAACATTCAAACATTTGCAGAAGAATGGTGGGGTGCGTCTTCGTGGATGAAACGATCTATCTATACATAGAGCTTAATCACATAATTTGTTAAAATCTTTGAAAATTGTACTTTGGTTCCTGTTTTTTTTTGGTATCGCGACTTTGCTGAGGACAGTTATGTCACTGTCCTCGCGCGTAATAAATATCATGTCATGACGCATCCCATTCGCGGTAAGCAGGCAGTCTTTTATATCCATCAGCGACTTTTTTGGCTATTATTTTTTATTTTCAGTACATACTTGTTTTTGAATTACGTGAAATGTTTTTATAGTGACACTTTTATTTCTTAGGTATAATATTATAAAAATAATCGTCTGCCATGACGAATCAAAAAGATTCACTTGTTACCTCACTAAATTATCCTGTAACGTACAGCCAGTGTCTAATAGTTCATGACACCCCATGTAGCCAATAAAGTTCGCCACACGTCTTTGATACAAATGGAATAAGGTTGTGTGTCAACTTATTTGCTACTTTGGGTGCTACGAACTATTTGACCCTAACTGTACAGCCTAAATTAGGCCTTGTCAAAGCGAACACAGTCTTGTTAATCCTACATTATTGCAAAAACACATTTTTATTTTTACGACAAATGTTTTATTCAAGTTTTCAAAAAATGGCAATTTATTTTTTACCCGACTGCATAGGGGGATGTTTTTTTACGACTAATTTAATTCAATATTTTATCACTATTTTATTTAGGACTGGCCGCTCTACGAAGCTGAGAAAGAAGGTGAAGAGGTGCCGCCGGACACGGTGTTCGCCATGACGGCGGTTCAGCTGCACCGGGTACTGCTCGCTAAGGCCAGGGCAGCCAGGAAGACCGACCCCGCCAAGGCGGAGAGGCTCTCGCGGTTGGCGGAGAGAAGGGCTAAAGATGGTAACTAATTAATTGCGCTTTTGAAGTTAGATATAACTTCAAAAGCGTATTTTTTCCTTAGTAAAAGATGTAAAAAAAGGTAATTATAATACCTGCTGAGTTACATTTAACAAATTTTGCTTATTTCTATGCATGTTTTTTCGAAAGTTAGTTCGTTTCCTAAGACGATATAAATTCAGAAGAATCCTATGGTCTGTATTACGAAATGATGCATAAATCTTGATCAAATCTCAAAAAAGTAGGTCTAGTTCTGACTGGTTTAATTTCAGTAATTCCACCAATCACAGAAAATAATTAGCAAGGATAAAATCGAGTTTGAGCGTTGTTTTTCTATACGGACCTAAATATTCTAATCCAACGCCCAAGGTTGATCTCGTGAGATTTTGCAAATTGTTTTTGTGTATTAATGAATCCGCCTCAAGGGTAAATAATTTTCTATGTTTTTCCTAGCCGACGACATCAATAAAACCGCGGAGGCGATAATTGAAATTGGCGTGTGTCAGCTAATGATGAATAACTTAAACAATGCTCAGAAGACTTTCGAGAGGGCGTTCAAGATCCACACAGCTAGTAGCAACGTGGAGGGCTTGTGCGAAACGAGAATGCACCTTGCTGCTGTCATGCAAAGGTACACATTTATGCAGCAAAATATTTGTAATTTTCCAAATTTTTAACTCAAAACTTCAATACGTTTTCATTGGAAATAGCGCCAAAGCTGTTATGACGATGCGTTATGACAAAACACCTTAAAGCCTAAAAAACATGTTTATTTTTGTATTAAAATATACCATGATGTCATTAATTACTTATTAAAGGTATAAGTATACCTGTTTACGACCTCGATTAGATTAATATTCATAGTAATGCACTTTTATGTTAACGCGTGTATTAACAATGATGCGCATTTTACAGCTTCATCCATATTCATTGTTTACAATCTAGTTATAATATAATCAAATTAATTTGACTTTCTAATCAAAAGAAAAATATGTGTGAAAAAATATAGGTAGGTACGTATCAGAATACAAAACATCAGACGTCAAGACCACGTAAGACGACGTAAGTACCTACACGAAATTTATATGAGCGGATATGAAATAGCCAAAACCAAACCCTAAAGGGTTAGTTCAACCAATTTCTGTTAAAGTTTCAAGCAAGTATACTATTTACCTGTAACATAACTTCAGCCCAATTCCTTAGTCAGAGTCCTGTGAAACCAAGGACCAGTTTTACTATGGTGCTCCTTGCTTGACCTAGTGACTGTAATGATACTATCTACAATGAACTCTGTCAAATAAAATTTATGGTCTTGGAGAGATGCTTATTGAATTCAACAATCAGTCAGCAAGTCTGCTGACGAAGATGGACTACGGCAGCGTTTGGGGCCGCGCTGATGATTTACAATGAGAGATTTATAAAACCATAAGTTATTCCTGAACTAGCTTTCCGCCCGCGGCTTCGCCCGCGTGGAATTTTGTCTGTCACAGAAAAACTTTATCGCGCGCGTCCCTGTTTCAAAAACCGGGATAAAAACTATCCTATGTTCTTTCCCGGGACTCAAACTATCTCTATGCCAAATTTCATCAAAATCGGTTGCGAGGTTTAAGCGGGAAAGCGTAACAGACAGACAGACAGACAGACAGCCAGAGTTACTTTCGCATTTATAATATTAGTTGGGATAGTTGGGATCCTTAATCTTTGCAACAGACTATGCGAGCACGAGCGAGACGGGGGCGCGGCTACTAACGGAGATGAATCTATGGGAGCTTGCTGATATCTAATCTCCATGGTTAGACTTGATGTGTTGCTCCTGATGGCCTATCTATCACTTCATGATACCAGATTGAGTGACCACAAGGCGGGCGGCACGTCTGCTGACGGAGATGAACTATGGGAGTTTCTGTATAGACGGGACTTGTATTAGTTGCTCCTGATAAGCCTATCACTTCATGGCATCAGGCTGGGTAACTACGAGATGGCGGCGCGGCTGCTGATGCTAACACTGATAGTTTATCAGCAACTTATCTGTCAGATAAAATGCAACATTTGGATTTGCAAGTCTCGGATAGATATAGCCTAGGTCTTGAAAAAGTTGAAATGGTTTATCAGGAACTTATCTGTCAGATAAACTACAGCTTGGGCTGACATGTCTCAGATGAATTAGTGATATCAGAGCAATGAAGTCACTGGTTATCAGCAACCTTATCTGTCAGATAAATGGCAACTGGTTTCAAATGATGTCAGATTTCAAGATACTAGTATCTGACAAATGAAGACACCGGTTATCAGCAACTTTTATCTGTCAGATAGCGGTATATGTCAGGAGACTATCAGAAATGTCAGGTAATGAAACTGGCCCAACTTTTGGTACTTATCTGCTAGATAAGTCCCTGATAGCCTATCTGAGACTATCAGAAGCTGGTCCTATAGAATGTGAGACCACGAGACGGCGGCGCGGCTGCTCTATCAGATGGACTATGGAAGCTTCTGCTTCTGGGGCGCGCTCATCTATACGGGTATTGTTTAGTTGGTCCTGATAGCTACCACTCCTTGGCATCAGGCTGGGCGAGCACGAGACGGCGGCGCGGCTGCTGCTATGGAAGCTTCTGGAGCGCGCGCTGAAGATGTCTGATATCTCTAGTTGGTCCTGATAGCTATCACTTGGCATCAGGCTGGGCGAGCACGAGACGGCGGCGCGGCTGCTGACGGAGATGGGCGCGCTGGCCATGGAGCGCGGGCTGCGGCGGCAGCTGGGCCGCGCGCTGCATCTGCTGGGCGAGCTGCATCTGCGCCGCGAGCGCCCCGAGCTCGGCACGCAGCATCTGGCCGAGGCTTTCACTTGCTTCATGGGCAGCTCTTTTCAAAAGGTAAGGGGGCGAAACATTGTTCCTTATTTCTTTTTACATAAGGTAACTAATTGCGCCTGTTAAGCTCTCTAGGAGTGTGTTCACTGCCATCTATACTTATAATAAATCTGTAGAGAGGTCAATTCTGTACATGAAATATATTTTCAAAATAACTATCAGAGGGTGATTAGTGATCGATACTGATGCCAAAATGCAATCAGTAAAATTTTTGTCTGTCTGTCTGTCTGTCTGTCTGTCTGTCTGTCTGTCTGTATGTTCCTTATAGAAACAAAAACTACTCGACGGATTTGAACGAAACTTGGTACATATATTCTTCATACTCCTGGGCAGGTTATAGGATACTTAGGAATTCCCACGGGAACGGGCATTAGCGGGAAAATCCTTTTGTATGAAAAATCTAAACCGCTTAAGTTAGACGCTTGAAATTTGGCAAGCAGGTACCTTAGTAAACTTTAAGCTTAGTTATAACAGGATATTGCAAAATTCCTACGGGAACGGGAATTAGCGAGAAAAAACATTTGTATGAAAAAATCTAAGCCACGTAAGATAGACGCTTGAAATTTGGCATGCAGGTACCTTAGTAAACTTAAAGCTTAGTTACAACAGGATATTGTAAAATTCTCACGGGAACGGGAGTTAGCGGGAAAAAACATTTGTATGAAAAAATCTAAACCTCGTAAGTTAGACGCTTAAAATTTGTCAAGCAGGTACCTTAGTAAACTTAAAGCTTAGTTACAACAGGATATTGCGAAATTCCAACGGGAACGGGAGTTAGCGGGAAAAAACATTTGTATGAAAAAATCTAAACCGCGTAAGATAGATGAAGGGGGTAAAACGGGATCCACGCGTACGAAGTTGCGGGCGGCCGCTAGTAGTTCATAATACCTTAAAAACTTTTAATACCTTCAATTAGCATGAAAGGGTTCTAGAAGCCTAGGCACAGACCATCGACTTTTATTGGCTGATAAGTTGGAACGGGCTGTTAACCAGTATGGACATGTATGAAAGTGCGCACATTATATCGATATTATATCGGCCGCAATCGGCTGATTCCTCATACAAGTTAGAATTGGGCCCTACTATTGGCCAACTAAAAGTCGATCCCAGGCTATGTTTTGAGCTTGCCACCGCACCGGCGCACATAGGCTGAGTTGCACGACCTTATTTTAACCATGACTATAACCTTGACCGGTGATTTTTGTATGTTGTTTGACAGACTTTTGACGTTTGTTAAAGTCCATCTTGCTGATGGTGCATGCCAGCCTTATTGTGTAATAAAGAACGTGTGGGAAAGAATTTGATATTTCAAGTTTTAAGAAAGACGTCTTGTTCAGTCCTTGTAAAAAATTTCAGCCCAGTGTCAGTCAATTTGATATCGGCGGTGGTGAAGATGACGATGAGGGTTTCATTTACCAATCACGGAAAAGGGAAATATTCGAAGAAGAAGCGGAACAGTCGCGACTAATGATGGCGATATCTGCAGGTAAAAGTAGATGTATCAATTTCTAAAATATGTAAATAACATAGTTTAAGTGATAATTTGTCATCTTTTAACTATCTTGATCATCAGCTACATAATATGGTAATTTGGAAATCGTATCCTTTTGTATGAATAATGACATAGAATTTAAAATTCATAACTTAGGTCAGGAATTGATGGCGAGTTACTTCAGCCTATTACGAGAAGCAGGTTCATGCTCTGTGGCACAGACGAAGACCATAGAGTGGAAGTTATCACACGCAGGCTGGTGGGTCAGGAAGAAGAAGCATGACTTTGTGCCTTGTCTATGCCCGAAGCATAATCGAACGCCACTGGATATTTTAAGGTACGACACAAACATTTCAAGATCTTCTATCTGTGCAGACATTTTATATTTGGCGTAACTTTTGTAGGAGTTTCTTGCCTCCAACTTTCACTATCAGGAGAATTTGATCCCTCTGATGATGTCTTGAGTATTTTAAAAAGCATATTTAGGGCCTCTAGCAGTAAATTCGTCGTGTTGGTCTCCATCTACGTGGTCTACTTGTCTTTTTAACGAAGTGTGACCTTCTAGAGGTCACTAGCTGGTTCGCTTTGCAAAAATAGTTCCTTTGTGAACCTAATTTGGAAGAACGCAAGTAACAATAGTCAACGGAACTATGGTGTCTATCTATAGTGCTGATTTAGCAGTCACATAGATCCACTTGCGTACGTGCTTGCAAACACGTGCTCTCGACGTGACGTCTTAGTGAAGTCGTCTTTTAGTCGTCTAATGGGTAGTTTAGTTTCGCCTGCTTACTCATAATAAATTAGGCAACATGATCCCGACAAAACAAATGACAACCACCTGTCACATAGGAGCATAGGTCAGAAGACGTTCCTACAAGTCCAACTATCACGCGCCTGCAGGATGATGAAAAAAATTCGTCCTTCAAGTCTTTTTCCTACTACTGCTAAAATACTACTAAAATATTCATATCAGAGATAACTAATAGACTTAATATTTATGTATTCATATTAAAGTTCAATGTACCTACACTAGAGCTTTTTTCCTAATAATGACACTGATCTTGTGATTTTTCACTCAACAGGATGCAACTAAATATGAAAGCGTCTTCCACACTTGTGGAAATGGATTTCTCTGAAGGGGATGCCCTGCTTGGAAGAACTGACACCGTTGAGGACATAAGGACCCTACGAAGCAGCTACTCTAGAGGTCAGCGAATGGACTCCAAAGACGAATCTGTGTGATTTGGTAGTTGATCTCAAGTCTAAGCTTAATAACAGACTTAATTTTAAATGCGATTGATATCAATAACTAAATGTAATTGAATTGATTGGCGATGTCAACAACCCAATTAGCAATGATCTTATCTAATTTCAGTTCTTTAGAATATTTTAATGTAAAGCTTTAATTTTATAATTACGGTTATTTATGTCGTAGCGTTATAATAACGACAATCCTTTGTGGTGATTAAAAACTAAATTACCTAATAAATAAGATTTCAGCACAGAATAATGATCTTTATTGCCAACCTGTTAGTTAAATCTTCTTTATCTACTATGGTAACAGTCGTTATGTTAGTGAGAACATTTTCCGCTGCTTCATTAAATTTTGAACTGTAGGTGATGGTTGTATGTGAGGTTCAAGTTCAAGGACTTTCCTAGGGAATTAGAATGACGATGTTGTCTTTTCCTCGTAAACATCACGGTCATACAATAAACTAGACTATTTTTAAAACAAAGTCCAAAGAATAGGCATAGGTACAATTTGTAGTGTGGTGTCATGAATCTAGATTAAGTTAAGATTAAGGCATACCTACACCTTAAAGTAGGACTTTAGAATCCCTAAAGTTCTGCTACTTGTTTTCCTTTTTTACGGCAAAGGGAAAATAAAGATGGTATTGAAAAAGCCGCCAATGATAAAGGAGTTTTCTTACCAAAAAAATTCTTTTGATAATCCGTCAAAATGTCACTCTGACATTTGCGCTTACTATGTAAGTGTCGTAACAGGTTTTACTATTTTTTTACGCATTATGTGGCCATAAGCTAGAACATAAATCTTTCTACATATGGGCTACCTTTTCTTTTATTTACTATATTTGACGTTCATAAGTGCCACTTGTGGTCTAAACTGAAAAAATATTTTTAATTTAGTTTTTTTCAAAAAAGTATAGAACAGTAATTTAATAGAATTGAATGAATTGTTTTAACATAAACATAAATACCAATTAAAAGTCAATAGCATTAATATTGTACAGCTCGTGTAAGATAAAACGTAATAAGGTACTTGATACAAATAAGGCCTACGTTCTAATAAGGCCTATACATCAGAAAACACAGATAAATACATCCGACCGGGATAATACTTCAAGGACACGTACTCATATGCCCTACAACCCGGTAGAGTGCAAGAGCGTCCCGATCCACGATCCCAGCACCAATTGGCACGCGTTCTTCTAAGGTGGTGGGTGATTTCGTGCTCTCCTATAAAAATCTGGCGATTTCATCTTAAATTTTCGGTAAAATGACGCTGTTTTAGATTAAGCTTTTCTTAGTAATCGTTTCTAAATATTTCTTACTAGCTAATAATTACCTTAATTTGTACTACTGGCTATAGATGCATTATTTGTAAATTTTTAAAGACAACAAGAGCGAGATATCTAATAAGGCCTAGGCCTTATTTCAGCATGGTAGGCCATATTAGATACTTATGTCAACACCTGATTACGGACAAATTCATTAAACTAAATGAGTCAAAGAGTAACTAAATATTTATTTAATAAGAATGTAACTAACAACACAGAAAAGAAAAATAAAACAGAGTCGAAAAACATTACAAAACCTGTAAAAAAAGAAACAAAATACAAAACCAGTAAAAAATAAGAAAAAAAAGTTGTATGTATAATTCTAAAGGAAAGGAGAATGAAAGCTGGTATTATCATGCCTCTCTCGAAGACAATGTAGCAGATATGCGAACATAAAGGACTGCTTTTGGTGGTATCACAAAGATTGTGTAGGTTGTTCGTAGAGATGATTCAGAAGCCTTTTTATGCCCTGGTTCTAACAAAAATTGAGATCTCATTTTGTTTACAAAAATTCAAGAC